AAAAAGAAAAATATATATAATAAAATTAAATAGATTAAATATCCAGGGATTCACTCTCTCCACTTCATCCCCCCACCTTCAATACACTCCACGGTCCACACACAATAAATCAGAAAAATAAAAACCTATTGTACCAAAAAAAAAAGAAAATTAAAAACCTAATTCATCCGCCCACCTTCACCCAAAATCACAAAGTGAAAATCCTAAAAATCAAAGCTCTTCCTCCGACCTCCGCGTTCGTAAGTCCAGGCATGGTCTCATATTCTCAGGCATCTCCACTAAATGTCTCTATCCACGAGCCAAGCTCGAAGTTCGGCCGCTGATTTTTACTAAAATCGTTTGTTAATTTGTGAATTTGTAAGTGATGGTTGACTGCCATGTGTAGCTAAATTTGTTTGTAATTTTGTAGCTGAAATATGTTGCTAAATTTTGTAATTTGTTTGTCAACTTGTTGCTAAAATTGATTGTTGAATTTGACAGCTCTATTTGTAAGGGTCGAAATTGTTTGTAGCAGCTGAAGGGGGACGAGATAAAGGGGAGTAGATTTTAATTTCAAAGGATCTGGCTTGGGTAAACTGTTATTGGACTGCCAAGGATGTCGCAAACCAATTGGGAAGCTGACAAAATGTGAGTATTTTTTCTGATTCTTGTTTTGTGCAGACTTAGCAATTTTTTTAGTTTTTTTTTTTCGGATTTTTTTTTTTTATTTTTATTTTTATTTTTATTTTGGGTCTGTGAATTGGGAACTTTTCGTCATCCTTGGTTTGAGTTGTTTCTGTTCTGGACAGGCATTTTATTGTACTTTCTTGAATTGGTATTGTTTTGGATTACATTTAGGGTTTAGATTTTCCCTCTCTCTTTTTCTTGAATGTAGTAATAAGTATTGTATTGTACTGAGTTGTGTTGTAGAGTTATTATTTCCTTGATATTGAGGGCCAGAATTAGCTTTTGATTTGTTGAATTGCTTAATGTGTAGGTTGGATGTCTATATTCATGATTATTTAGTGAAGAGAGATTTGAAGGCCACTGCTCAGGCTTTTCAAGCTGAAGGAAAGGTGGCATCTGACCCTGTCGGTATGTATATATTGAAAGGTGGACGAGGATGATGAAGTTATTTGCGTAATCTTTTTTTCCTTTTTTAAACTAAATTACTGTTTTGGGGGGTATGTTTCAGCTATCGATGCTCCGGGTGGGTTTCTGTTTGAATGGTGGTCAGTGTTTTGGGATATATTCATTGCCAGGACTAATGAGAAGCATTCTGAAGTTGCTGCCTCGTATATTGAGGTTTGTTACGAAACTGAAAAATAAATTTATCAACTTCGACTTTACCTTTTTATTGTAGATTTATTTATTTGTCTCGCATGTATTTACTGCTTTATATTTTAAACTGAATCATCAAAATGACATTGCCGTCGCACATTTTTCGCACAAATTATCCTATTTACTTGCTCACATAGTTCCAGTTGCTATTTCGGCAACCAGTACATACGCATTGTTGGATTTCGTTCTCATATCCAGTATTTCAAGATTTTCTGTTTGTGTCTAGAATGTCATGGGGAACTCTTATTACAATAATGATGGATTTCAAGAATGTTGGTAGATAAGAGGAAGTCCGTATAGAGTGAATAAATAGAGTAAATTATTAATGGTTAGAAGCACGTCAGCGAGTGAATAGTATAATTTTGTCGGGAATGTTCAATAATATTTTTAATTTTTCGAAATGGTATGCACTGAATTGGTAAGAAATAAACTCACTGAGTGGATATATTACCTTTTTTAAGTTTCGATATGTCGGTGGAAAATCAGAGAAAGTATAAATTAGATTGCAGCCAAGCACTAAATAACTAAATGACTGAACTAACTTTTGTTTCCAAAAAAAAAAAAAAAGACTCAGTTAATGAAAGCTAGAGAGCAACAGCAGCACCAACAACAGCCGCCACAGCCCCAGAATTCACAACAACACCAACAGCAGCAGATTCAGCTTTTATTACAAAGGCAAGCCCAACAGCAACAACAACAGCAGCAACACCAACAACACCAACAGCAACAACAACAGATTCAGCTTTTATTACAAAGGCAAGCTCAACAGCAACAGCCACAACAGCAGCAACAACAACAACAGGAACAGCAGCAACAACAACAACAACAACAACAACAGCAGGCTCATCAGCAGCAGCAAGGGCAACAACAAAGACGCGAGGGGGGTTCCCACCCCCTTAATGGATCAGCCAATGGAAATGTCGGAAATGACCCTCTGATGAGACAAAATACCGGTGGGACTGCGAATGCAATTGCGACAAAGATGTATGAAGAGAATTTGAAGAGGGATTCTATGGAGGATGCTGCTTTGAAGGTAAATTAAGTTTATGCGTGAGGGTATGTAAAGCTGAGGAGCTTTTTTGATATCTGTTAGTAAAGTTTGTGGTATCTTTTTTTTTTTTGCCCTTTTCAGCAAAGGTTTGGTGATAATGTGGGCCAGCTTTTGGATCCAAATCATGCATCGATCTTGAAATCAGCTGCAGCCTCTGGCCAGCCAACTGGGTATGCTGGATATGATATCTTTTAAATAGTTGTGCCTTCTTATTGTCCGTACTTTATGAATATGATTTTTGGTGTTTTTCTTTCCATTCTCTTGAATTTGTGTGTATATATGTCTATGGTACATGTGCATGTATGTTCAAGCATGTCGTATGCTTTTTTGCATAAACTTTTCGAATGTTATCTGATATTCTGGTGTAAATTCCCAAGTATTCTTTCTAATTAGTGGTCTCTTTTCTTTTTTTTTTTTTTTCCTTAAAGATTTTCTATTGTGTTGGTAAACTTAAATTCATAGTCTTGGTCGAAAGCTTTGATCTTTATGTCCCTGCATCTCTTTCTGGAAGGCAAATGTTGCATGGTTCTGCTGGTGGAATGTCTCCACAAGTTCAAGCACGAAGCCAGCAATTTCCAGGGTCTACAGCAGTAAGCATTTTCTTCTTTTGCTATCTTCTGTAAGATAGATTTTTTTCAATTGTGTTTCAACTTGCATATATGTTCATATTTGTGGGCAATTGTTGTACATATTCGTGAGCAGGATATCAAAACTGAAATTAATCCCATCCTGAATCCAAGAGCTGCGGGCCCTGAAGGATCACTGATTGGAATCCCTGGTACCCGTTTATCCGTTGGCTTCAAGAAAACCTATGTTGTTGAAAAATGTTTAAATGCTGTCAATGTTTTCATGAAGATAACTGATTAGTATGGTTTCAAGAAAACCTATGTTGTTGAAGAAGGTTCAAATACTATCATTATTGTCGTGAAGAAAACTGATTAATTTCCACAACATAATCAAATTCAAGGCATGGAAAGATATTGAAAATTGGATTACACGAATAGCATATGATCAAAAAATGGTCTAATTTGTATCGTGGAATCCTGTACTCTATATATGGTAATGTCATTTTCTACATTTTAGGGTCGAATCAAGGAAATAACAATTTGACGCTCAAAGGCTGGCCTTTAACTGTAAGTGCAATGTGGTTTTATAGTTTTCTCCTCTTTATGCCTCTGGTTGTCTTTTCTCTTTCTTTGTGCGTGTAAGTCAGTGTCGCTCACAATTATAAATTGCAAGACTGCTTATGGGGAAATTTTTTAATTGCATCAATTCCGTTGAAGTTTTATGATTAGACCTTCACATGAAAAATGTTCTAGAAACCCCCAGTATATTCATATATACATATATGGTTAAAAACCTTAAATTTTAGGCAGAAGCAAACATCCTTCCATTTATTTATATAATGTACAATTTTGATACTTGTTTAAGTTTCTTATACCTACCTCCAATTTATTTATAATATTCTATATAGTTATGTTAAATTCATTTCCACATTTTTGTACTTATTTTACTAGGGTCTCGACCAGCTTCGATCTGGGTTACTCCAACAGCCAAAGTCATTCATGCAAGGACCTCAGTCCTATCATCAGTTACAGATGCTGACACCTCAGCACCAGCAGCAGCTGATGCTCGCCCAGCAGAGTCTTTCTCCATCTGCGAGTGATGCCGAGAGCCGAAGGTTGAAAATGCTTCTTAATAACCGAAGCTTCTCTATGGGTAAAGATGGACTCTCTAATTCGGTTGGTGATGTGATTCCTAATATGGGGTCTCCCTTGCAAGCTGGTGGGCCGGTTTTGCCTCGTGCGGATACCGAAATGCTAATGAAGGTGCGCTCTTTCTTTCCATTTTAAACTGCCGTTTGTGACTTCTGTGATATAGATTCGGGTTAATTACGGAAAAATATAGGTTTAGCTTAATTATGGAGAAAACCTGTTTTTCTAGAAACAGGATACCCAATTGTAGCACTTTAAGGGGGTGGACTTTAATGTGAGAGAGAAATAGAATTAGGCCCGAAGCCCCAGATATTCTGTTAGTGATTTTGAAATAGAGAGGGAATTTGGTACTGAATGTGAGTAGTTGGATTGCTGATGTGGGCCGTTTTGATTTTGTTGTTCAGTTGAAATTTGCGCAAATGCAGCATCAGCAGCAACAACAGCAGCAGAACAGTAATCAATCCCACCAGCAACAACTTCAGCAACATGCACTCTCTGGTCAACAGCCTCAGAGTTCGAATCACAATCTACAGCAAGATAAGATTATGGGTAGTGGCAGTATCACTGGTGATGGTAGCATGTCCAATTCCTTCCGAGGAAATGATCAGGTCTAGCCTTTTCCTTCATGATAGCTATTTTTCTTCATTTTGTTTGAATATTTTTTTTCCCTATTTGTTATATTTTTTACTCGTTACCTCTGAAACTATTGCAGCATGCTTTTTGATAGTGCATGTCTGCTGTTTTATGTGTATTGTCATCATAAGATCGATACTTTGAAATGGGTGCGCTGCTGTATATTATCATCTTTTCTTGCTTGAAGGTTATAGTTGATAGATTATTGCAGTTGCCATATTTTCAGGATAAATTTTTTTATCGTCTTTAATACATTAAAATTGTGTGTAATGAATGTTCTCTGTGGGTTGAAAGCATAGACTTTATCTTTGATTGGATTAAATGACAATTATCATTTCATTTTCATTTTAAATATTTCCTGGTGATTAACCCTGCTGAATCAGATGCTACTTTCTTTTTGCCCTTTCTGTTTATGTGTTTTGCTTTTATCATTTGGTTAATTTGTGCGAAGCATCTTAAGGCAGACAAGATATCTAACATCGTCTCAAATACATTAAAGGCTTCAAAAAGCCAGGTTGGGAGAAAGAGAAAGCAACCTGTATCTTCTTCAGGCCCCGCTAACAGCTCCGGGACAGCAAATACAGCCGGGCCCTCTCCAAGTTCGGCCCCATCAACACCCTCAACTCATACACCGGGAGATGTGATGTCGATGCCTGCCTTGCCACACAGTAGCAGCTCCTCAAAGCCTCTGATGATGTTTGGGTCTGATAACACTGGCACTCTCACTTCACCATCAAATCACTTGGTAATGATCATTCATCATTATCTTTGGATTCTCATTTGATCTGTGGAGAAGTTCTCTAGTCTTTCTTTCTTTTTTTTTTGTTCTTTTTTTTTGTTTATTTTGTTCATGTATACTTCTGTGCAGTGGGATGATAAGGACATCGGGCAAGCTGACATGGATCGTTTTGTGGATGATGTTGAGGACAATGTGGAGTCCTTTCTATCCCATGATGATGCTGATCCCCGAGATGCGGTTGGCCGCTGTATGGATGTTAGCAAAGGTAAGGAAATATTTTTTTGGGTATTTCCACTTTTTCCTTGAGGGTCTGAGGGTATTTATTGAACATCTGTAGTTTTGCTTTTTTTGTTTGGAGGATTTATTGTGTTGACGATGTGCGAAAATATAGGTATTCTTCTGATTAGCAACTGTGGTCTTGGTTTAATATTATTTGATTTGGTTTTATCATTTTGCAATTCAGGGTCCTTGCATATCAGGTCAAAATCTTTCTTGGAACTTCTTTTTGTAAAAAATAATTATTTTTTCGTATTTATTTTTTACATTTCATCTTGTTTTGGCCTTTTCCAGAACTTCATGTGCAAGTATTCTGAAAGATTTTTTTTATATATATTTCTTAAATTTTTATTAATGAGGTCAATATGAATGTTTTAATCTCTGTAAAACCTACTGCTACTTTTATGATGTTCTGACTGGAAATTCTTAATTTTGAAGGGTTTACATTCACGGAAGTGAATTCTGTTCGCGCTAGTGGAAGTAAAGTTGCATGCTGCCACTTCTCATCAGATGGAAAACTGCTCGCCAGTGGTGGACATGACAAAAAGGCGAGTGTCAGGATTGAGCAACGTTGTTCACAAATAATTTAACAAATATGCAATTGCTCCTTTTGTTGCTGCTCACTAAATGTCATTTTAACTAATATTCATTTTTACCAGTAATGAAGTTTTCTTGAAATTTATGCAGGCTGTTCTATGGTACACTGATTCTCTGAAGCCAAAAACTACACTTGAGGAACACTCTTCACTCATTACTGATGTCCGTTTTAGTCCTAGCATGGCCCGCCTTGCCACATCGTCTTTTGATAAAACTGTCAGAGTCTGGGATGCAGATACTGTTAGTTGAAACTCTACCTTTCCTTATTCTAAGAAAAAAATGTCTGGCATGATAACATATCCCTGCTCTCAATTCGAGATTTTGTTTTGTAAATAAATATAAAAAATGTTGATCCTCGGTGTCACTCATCATATTATTAAAGATCTTACGATCTGACTGTTTTTAACAGCCTGGCTACTCACTTCGTACGTTTACTGGACACTCTGCTGGTGTGATGTCATTGGATTTTCATCCCAATAAAGATGACCTCATCTGCTCGTGTGATGGGGATGGTGAGATAAGATACTGGAGTATTACTAAAGGAAACTTCACCAGAGTTTTCAAGGTGCAAAAATAATAATTTGGCAATTGATGAGTCTACTTTATCTTCGAAGATTTCTGAGTACCCATTTTAACAAATAAAATTTTGAATTATCTTCAACAAATATCTCTCTATTGAGGTGCAGTTCATATAAATTCGAACAAATATCAATTGTGTACTTGTGGTTATGAAACACCATCGCGTTTTTTTGCCTCTTATGTGTTGTTGACTTGCGAATTTCGGTTGGTGTAGGGTGGCACGACCCAGGTTAGATTTCAACCTCGTCTTGGAAGGTACCTTGCGGCCGCTGCTGAGAATGTCGTGTCAATACTTGATGCAGAGACAACCACTTGTCGCCATTCATTAAAGGTTAATTCTTTCTCTCTGGTGATAATACCTTCGTGTGAAGTGAGGTTGAAAGGAAGATGTACAATTTCTTTTATCACGACTTGCATGCTCCTATTTAAGGTTCAAAACATATATTTTCAGGGGATAATTACCAGTACTACCATTATGGTTTAGTCTAGTAAATGAAATGAAAAATATCTAATGACCTTTTTTCTAAATTAAGCACGTGATTTAAAACATGAGTGACTCCCTGTTAGGAAATAATGCTTCAAACAAATACACAGCTCAAGGGTGTATTTGTACGTGTCAGGGTGGTATTTGTTTCAAAATTATTATTTTTTTCTTTTTTTTTTGCCTTTTTGGTATTTATTCTCGTTAGATGGTCCCGGTTCGTTAGTTCTTTTGCTAGTTTAAATTTTGTTTATCTTGTCTTAATTTTTGGTTGTGTGTACAGGGCCACACAAAAACAATTCATTCTATTTGCTGGGACTCGTCTGGTGAGCTGGTTGCATCTGTTAGTGAGGACTCGGTTAGGGTTTGGACAATGAGGTCTGGAAGTGAAGGCGAATGCTTGCATGAGCTGAGTTGTAATGGAAACAAGTTCCATTCCTGTGTTTTCCACCCTACATATTCATCCTTGCTTGTTATCGGTTGTTATCAGGCAAGTTTATTATTTTCTCTATAGTTTTTAATTTGGTGTAATTTACAAAATTGACTCCTCAGGTTCATCTTAATTACATAAAAATGTAGTTATATATTTTGGATTAGGAAAATGACTACCACATGTTTGTTTTTTTAAACAGCCACATATCTGTTTGTTTGTGTAGCAAAACAGGTGGTAATTAAGACTCTATACGTATTTTTTTTTTTGAAAAAGAAGTAAAAATAGATTTTATTTTTATTTTTTTACATACTCCTAAAACTTGTATTATTATTTTTATACAAAATGACACCCACCGGCGGTGAAACTCGTTTGTCCTATGTTTTCATAGTTTTTCTTACTTAAATATATATAATATCATTGGTTGATAAATAATATTTTTTTTATTAACTTTCAATTAGAATTGTTAGATAATTCGATTTTTGTTTGTAAAGGTTGATGTACGTCAACGTCGAAGACTGCTGAATGATGCTTAATTTGTAGTACATATGAAAAACTGATAACAAAATAACAATTCTAAAAGGGCAATGCTATATGTACACCCCTTTTTAATAAATTACACAAAGGGGAATGCTATATGTACACCCCTTTTTTACACACAAGGGGGTGTACATATAGACACCCCCTTCTAAAATTTGTTATGTTTTAAAATATAATGATAATCCAAGTTGGCTACATGTTTTATAATATTTGGGGTCTTAATAATATTCACATACAAAATCTAAATCTATGTGGTCTCTGAGATATTGACCAAAAGTTGATACCAAGGGTCGGGAAACTCTGCATTTATTTATTTGTTCTTTGTTTTACATTTGAATAAGTTTAACTCAGGTGTATGTTGATAGGTACACAAATCGAAAATATACCGACATTTCATATATCTATGTGTTTTATGAGCAAAATTCTATAATTTGTTATTGAATTGAACTATTCACAAACTCGGTATTAACCCTCTATACAGGAAATGTGAGAACATATTAGATCCGAAATACTACATTATCCAAATGCAACCTGTAAAAGTCACTACAAAAACACACGATATCAAGTTTCCTAACGATTATTGGGTCTCTTAAATGCAATTTTCCATTACCTGCAAATTCTAATCCTTAAAAAATGTTTGTTTTTGTCTGAATAACAATTAATTGTGTTTGATTTGGTTTTGCAGTCTTTGGAGCTTTGGAACATGAGCGAGAACAAGACAATGACCCTATCGGCTCATGAAGGCTTAATTGCATCATTGGCTATGTCGTCGGTTGCTGGCTTGGTTGCGTCTGCGAGTCACGACAAAATCGTCAAACTTTGGAAGTGATTTTATTTATTTGCATTATATGTAATTACATTTAATGTTTCAAGAGTTTTTATGCGACCTCCAGAAGAGTGAGTTCACTTTCTAGGTGACCAACTGTTGTTTCTGGTGTTGCTTATGCTATACTGTTGCTGGCTTAGTCTGTCTAAACAGTGTTGAACATTTTACTTTTTTTTTTATGAATATTGACTGACGAGTAAGCATCTCGTGCATTGAACGGAAGGGTTTGTACTTTAAACCTTTTTTAAAACTCCATTTAACTGTGCTTTAAACCTTTTTTAAAACTTCATTTTAACAATATATTAGCTCGTTGACTTGTTTATATTATTGAAAATAGTACTTTAACACATTTATGTGTTCTTATAGAAAAATGATAATGGTACTTATTTTTTGTCATCATAATACTCATGTTATTTTATTTTAAAATAGTCATATAATGTAAATATTATTATTTATAGCACTTTTTATTTTTTATGTTTAATGACATATTTAATGTACACTAATATTATTGGTTGATGAAAATAATTTAATAATATATAAACAAATTTAAATAAATATTATGCCATATATACATTATATTTTTTTTAAAATTTATCCTATCACATTATAATTAAAAATAAAATTATATATATGTGTGTGTGTGATTTTATGACAGTAGTAAATATATTAAGCCGGAAAAGGAACATTATATCATAACAAAAATAATATATATTATATATATATATATACATACATACATACATACATACATACATACATATGTGTGTGTGTGTGCGTGTGCGATTTTATGACATTAGTAATATAGTAAGCCCAAAAAGGAACATTGTATTACAATAATCAAAAACAAAAATTATATATGTATGTGTGTGTGATTTTACGACAATATTAAATATATTAAGTATAAAAAGGAAGTATTATCGGTGAATTATATGATAAAAAATTTTATGTGGGATTTTCCAAAATTTTATATCTAACAAAATAATTTAAATAGTCCATAATATTAAAAAACAATTATACAGGTGTCACTATATTAAGTGATGGATGGCTCCATAAGAAAACAATCCGATGGCTCCATAGAATTTTTGTAAATATATAAGCTTGAGATAAACATTAGTAATCAGAGTCTTTATTCTTTCCAAAGAGTGAATTTCATGATAGAAAATCTTATGTAGTTTATATTTTCCAAATTTATCATGACTCGTAATAATCTTATGATGAAGCATTACCACAAAATATTGTGTTTTATTTTTATTTTTTAAATAAATTATCCATCTATAATTGTTACTGCAAACTAATGGAAAAAATTCAAAAACACTATTGATTAATAATTTTGGAAAAAAATCCAAAACACATTACAAAGCCAAAATTCCTAGAATATTTAAACGTAATCTATATCTGATATAGGATATTATATACCCCAAGCTAAACCGGTCCATCGAACCAGACGGAGGGGTCATACCATGAGGGAACCGAGTCGGGCAACATGAGGATTGAGCAAAATGACCTGTCGACCAGTCAAACAGTCGACCAATCCATCGCTCGACCAACAAACGATCGAGCAACCTTATCGACCTTAGCAGGTCGAGCATCTCACAGACTCAATACTCAACAGATCGGCCTAGTCACAGGCACGTGAAAGAGCCTCCAACTGAATTCCAGGAGAAAATTTTCAGGAGGACACGTATCGAGAATGTATTGGGTGATAGCGATAACCACCTCTGACAGCCCCCAACGCCCCGCGCCACCTCTGACATGTGCGCGGTGTGTCAGAGTACGGACGGGCAGCTTGGGCAGCCAACTCATCCTTATCCGGCCAGCTATTAGGGCAAGTATCTCATCCCTATATAAAGGGGGTGAGCCTTTCTCCCTTAAGACGATTTTTCCATTATTCACTTCAATACACTCATACACATACTGACTTAAGCATCGGAGGCTCTTCACCGGACACAACCCCCGGTGTGAGAGTTATTTGCAGGTTTCTGGCGTTCTACCGGTGAGGAAAATAATCGATCAACCCCAAACCGGACTAGGACGTGCACACCTGCATTATTGGCGCCGTCCGTGGGACTTCCGTTTCAGAAGTTGTGTTTGAAGCTCAACTATGGCAGACGAAATTCCTAAAAAATTGCAGTCGACGTTCGATGAAGCTTGGACAACGACCAGGCCGTAGGGGCAAGGCCCTCCTTTGGGTTTTTCTGGCCCATCGCAAACGCCAGTCACTCCTACACCTATCCTTCAAGGTGTGGGAGCGACGATAGTGATTCTCGGAGGAGATGCCGGCTCCAGCCGGGCCCAGGAAGCTCGCGCAGCAGTTGCGGCAGCGATGCCACCACCGCCGCCACAAAATCCAGTGATGGTACAACCAGGAGGAGAAATGGTGCAAGGAGGAGTGGCAACACAGGGAAGAGCACCACAACAAGCCGTCATACAAGCTCCTGGTCAACATGTGGTGACGATAACCAGGGATGAGATGCAGAGGATAGAGGCAGCCGCAGCGGCGCAGGCGGTGCAGCAGGTCACGAGCCATACGTCTCACGCCACCATCGCGCCGACCACGGCAGTAGGAGGACAAGACTAGGACGTATCCAGTTATGGAGATGGAGGAGGTGGAAGAGATCGAGCGATGGAGAGGATGGCGGAGCAGTTGCGCCAGTTGCAGGACAAGGTTGAAGGAAGCCGGAAAGGAGGGCTCGAGAACATCCGTTCTCGAGGGAGATTCTCGCAGCTCCCCTACCAAATAATTTCAAGGAGACTAAACTGGTGTATGATGGGTCATCTGACCCGTCGAGGCATGTGAGGACCTTTGAGAACATCGTTGTGTTGCATGGGTATTTTGATTCTGTGTGTTGCAGGGCATTTCTATCGACCTTGCGTGGGGGAGCACTTGACTGGTTTCATCAATTACCCCCAGGGTCGATCGCAGACTTTGAGGATTTTGCCAGCAAGCTTACCAATCAATATTCGAGCGCGGTGGCGCAGGAGAAGACATACTTGACGCTGATGGCGATGAGGCAAGGAGAGAAAGAGTCGTTGAGGAAGTATGTTGCTCGATATAATCAAACATGTTTGGAGGTACACTCCTCGTCGGATGAGGTCAAAGCAGGAGGATTGATACGGAGTCTTCAAGCGGGGCCTTGTCGAACCTCCCTGGCAAAGACCCCTGCTCGATCATATGAGGACGTTTTGAAGCGGTGCAGGAAATATATTAATTTGGAGGAGATGGAGATGGAGTTTGCAAAACTGGAAGTGGTGGCTCGACAAGAGCCAAAGAAGGAGAAGAGCCCACAAAGGGGAAGGTCACCAAGGAGGAGTTCGCCCAAGAGGAGTGGGCCGAAAAAAGCATTGCCCAGGAGAGAAAGCCGAGATCCGACAAGGGAGAAGAGGGACGAATGGCAGAGGAGGCCGATGTTGTTCGAAAGACAGAGGTACCATACTTTTACTCCTCTGAGGAAAGATTTGACAGAGGTGCTCGAGGCTATGGAGAAGAAGATGTCGAGCGAGGATGTGACATGGCCGAAGATGAGGTTTATAGGCCCGATTCGACCCTGGTCGGATATCCACTGTCATTTTCACCGAGATTACGGCCACACCTCGGAGAACTGCAGGCATTTGAAGGATGAGATTGAAAGGTTAATCCGGGCAGGGCACCTGAAGGAGTTTGTGTATCATGACCGGGCGAAAAAAAAAGGAAGGAGAAGGTGTCGGGAGGAGTCTGAGGAGATAAGTGATAGAGATGAGAAGGGCGGTGATAGAGATGGACGTGATGATCAAGGAAAGAGGCCGAGGAGGGACGGAGATAAATGGGGGCAAGGAGGAGAAACCCCATTGAAGAGAGGAACGATATATATGATTTCTGGAGGGCCGACGGATGGCGACTCGAATCACGCCAGGAAGGAGCATGATCGAGCTGTGAAGAGAAAGAGAGAGGAGGTGGGGATTACGGCTCGAATGCCGGTGATAAGTTTTAAGGCGGAGGATGCTGAGGGAGTGGTCCTGCCACACAACGACGCTTTGGTGATTACTGCGGATGTGGCGGGATTTGATGTAAAGAGGGTGTTTATTGATACCGGGAGTTCGGTAGACGTGATGTTCTATGATTGTTTTGTACAGATTAATAAGAAGCTGAACACGGAGTTGAAACCAGTAGCCACAGTGTTATACGACTTTAACGGAGGAGAGGTTATGCCGATGGGAGAGATCACTATGCCCGTGGCGCTGGGATTAGGGGTGATGAAGAAAGTCCGGATGGTGAGGTTTGTAGTCCTTGGGGATGAATCGTCTTACAACATTATAATGGGGAGAACAAGCTTGAATGCATTCCAGGTTGTCGTATCCACGTACCACATGACAATCAAATACCCTGTGGGCGAAAACGTTGGAGAGATTGCTGGAGATCAACTTACCTCGAGGAGCTGCTACCAAACTACGGTGAGCAACAACAAACAGCTAGCAAAGAAGCAGGCTAAGCCAAAACGAGAGGAGGTCAATCGACCAGGTGGGTCGAGGTCGAAAGAAGATAGGCAGAGGTTGGAGAAGGGAAAAGAGAAGGTGGATATCCGGCCAGGGGAGGAGGTCGAGGAAGTTCAGATGATCGAGGGGTGTGAGGAGAGGAAGTTCAGAATTGGGAAGGACCTGGAGGAGCCCATCAGATCGAAGTTGATTGGCCTGGTTAGAGAGTTCGCGGATATTTTCGCGTATACAACGGAGGAGTTGACGGGAATAAGTGCGGAGGTGATTGAACACCGATTGAACATCGACCTCAACGTGAGGCCGATGAAGCAAAAGATGAGACATCATGGAGCGGAGATGGATAAAATTATCGAGCAAGAGGTCGAGAAGCTGTTGAAAGCAGGGCATATCAAGGAGATTCAGTTCCCATAATGGTTGTCAAATACGGTGATGGTGTCAAAAGCGGAGGAAAAGTGGAGAATTTGTATTGATTTTCGTGATCTGAACAAAGCGTGCCCGAAGGATCTGTATCCGTTACATAGAATCGACCAGTT